GAGCCCCAGCTCTCTTTCCTGCCTATGCAGGGGGTCGGACTCGATGATCTATTGAGGTCCCCTCCGACCCTAGCATCTATGAATCTATAAGAGTCTGGAGATTGAAGGGGGATTTGATAATGGTTTTCAAATAAAAAATAAATAATTTATAAAAAACATTTTTCTGAACATCTCCCCCACTGGGATCCCCCCACTCGTGGTGCTCGTAAAGGCAAGGTGCCAGAGGACTGGAAAAGGGCCAATGTGGTCCTCATTTTCAAAAAAGGGAGGAAGGAGGATCCAGGGAACTATAGGCCTGTTAGTCTTACCTCGGTCCTGGGGAAGCTCTTTGAGAGAATTATCCTGGTGCATGTCTGCGAGGGACCAGCAGGGGAGGTTATGCTTAGGGGCAACCAACACGGGTTCATTCGAGGCAGGTCCTGTCCGACCAACCTGGTGGTTTTCTACGACCATGTCACAAAATCCTTGGATGCAGGTGTCGCAGAGGACGTAGTCTTCCTGGACTTTAGAAAAGTCTTTGACACTGTCTCTCACCCCATTCCCATTAAGAAATTAGGTGACTGTGGTGTCGACACCTACACAGTCAGATGGGTCACTAACCGGCTGGAGGGCCGCACCCAGAGAATGGTGGTGGATGGGTCATTTTTGACATGGAGGGATGTGGGCAGTGGGGTTCCCCAGGGCTTGGTCCTAAGGCCTGCGCTGTTCAACCTCTTCATCAGCGACTTGGACGAGGGGGTGAAAAGCACCTTGTTCAAGTTCACAAATGACACTAAGATGTGGGGAGAAGTGGGAATGGTAGAAGAGAGGGACAGGCTGCAACTAGATCTGGACAGGTTACAGGGGTGGGCAGATGAGAACAGGATGGGTTTCAACACTGACAAGTGCAAGGTACTGCACCTGGGGAGGAAGAACCAGCAGCATACCTACAGGCTGGGGAACTCCCTTCTCGTCAGCACAGTGGCAGAAAAGGATCTTGGAGCCACTGTTGACTCCAAGATGAACATGGGCCGCCAATGTGGGGACATGGTCAGTAAGGGTAACCGCTCCTTGTCATGCATCCACAGATGCATCTCAAGCAGGTCCAAGGAGGTGATCCTCCCCCTCTATGTGACACAGGTCAGGCCGCAGTTGGAGTACTGTGTCCAGTTCTGGGCACCGCACTTCAGGAGGGATGTGGACAGCATCGAGAGGGTCCAGAGGAGGGCCACCTGCATGATCCAGAGGCAGCAGGGCAGGCCCTATGAGGAGAGGCTAAGGGACCTGAACTTGTTCAGCCTCCACAAGAGAAGGCAGAGAGGGGATCTGGTGGCCACCTACAAACTGGCCAAGGGGGACCAGCAGGCAATGGGAGAGTCCCTGTTCCCCCAAGCACTACTGGGAGTTACAAGGAATAACGACCATAAGCTGACAGAGAGTAGGTTCAGGCTAGACATCAGGAGGCGCTACTTCACAGTCAGGGCGGCTAGGATCTGGAACCAACTTCCAAGGGAGGCGGTGCTCGCTTCTACCCTGGGAGTCTTCAAAAGGAGGCTAGACAATCACCTAGCCGGGGTCGTTTGACCCCAGCATCCTTTCCTGCCCATGGCAGGGGGTCGGACTTGATGATCTGCTCAGGTCCCTTCTGACCCTACCTACTATGAAACTATAACTGAAGGATGATTATAAAGAGGATGGAGATAGACTGTCCTCCATGGCTGCAGGGGGACAGGAGAAGGTGCAGTGACTTTAAACTGCACAAGGGAAATTTAGTTTAGAGATTAGGAAGAACTTTTTGACTACAAGGTAGTTAAATATTAGAACAGGCTACCCAGAGAGACTCTGGAATCACCATACTTAGAAGTTTTAAGGCAAACCCTTGACTGGGATGGCTTAGTCCTACCCTGACTGGGATGTTAGACTAGACTTCCTGAGGTCCCTCCCAACCCTGTTTTTCTGTGATGCTTTTGCACACAGAAGATTTATCCCTGACTCAAGGGATTAAGGAAAGTAAATTCCAACCCAACATCATAAACACCACGTAAGGCAGCAGCATCACATCCTTTTCTGAACCACAGCTCAAGATGTTGCACACAATTCACGTCAGTGGAGGGTTTTCAGTTCATCCTATTAATAGTCTTAAAAAAAGTAATGTTCCTGTGGGAAATGGGGAAATGGCCCTTGAAAGTGGGCATGGGTAACAAAATCAGATCTGGGCTTTTTATCTGATTCAACAACACCTTCTCTGATTGCCTGTTTACTAGGAACTTCCTCCTTTCGAGCCCTATAAAAGAGCACAGCTACTGAGCTGGAAAGCATATGGTGGAGAGGACGGCAGCCTAGATTCACAGGGATTTCCTAATGGTTTTGATTTTCCTAATGGTTTTGATATTTGTTTGGTCGCTCCTGGTGAGTATTAGCTAAGATCTGGGCTCTGAGCACAGGCCTGCGAGAAACAGGCCAGTGCAAGAGGGCACTGTTTTGATGGACAGTGCCATGCTGGCTCGGTGGGGATGGTTATCCCTATGCTCAGAGAAGGGATGCTACTTGAGGATTGGTGGGGATGGTTAGCCCTATGGTCAGAGAAAGGATGCTACTGGAGGAGTAAGGTGGGACTTTGCTGAGAGTTTAAAATTCAAAATTATTATATTCAGAGGGGGAGGAGGAGCTCAGGTGACTATTAATGAGACCTGAAGTTTTCAGACCAGAGGCAATACATGACAATACATTGCTACCTGATGGTGGTTGATGGGAGACCCCTGGGAAGGAGCCGGTGGACACAAGGGCATGAGCGCCCACCTCAAAGAACCCTGCCTCACCACTGGCAAGAATGGCCTTGCCTGGCACTGGTGAGCAAGGGTGGATGGGCCAGGAAGAGTGACCCCGAGGTGTGCAGAGTAGGGGCACTTTAGGAAGAGGCTGTGAAGGAGGTGGCAGCCCAGCTGCCCATTCTGCACCTGTTCAGAGGGAGAACATCAGACTCCACGGCTGTCACAAATGCTGACTCTGTGCTGCAATTCTTAAACCCTGGCCACATGAAGCTACTTCTTGAGCGAGTAACTGTGTTTGACTGGATGGGACTGCTGGAAGTTGGCTTCAGCTGAAACACATGGAAACAAATTTCATGTTACTGACTCTTTTTGCAGTCCTGCTCTGCTGCACTGATTTGACGATGCCTTTTTGATCTCCCAGTGGCACAGAGAGGGATGGAGGTGATGTGGGGGATGAGGATGACAGGTTTTACATATCTCTGACTGTATCCGCATTTACTGAGTCATTGGTGTATTTTGCAGGGTTCCTCCCCCCGAAAGCTGCAGTTGGTTTTTCCATCGTTCTGTACAGAGGGTGGACTTGCCAGTCCATGTGAGTATGCAGCGCACATCCATTCACCCCCACCATAGTGCAAGGCCACAGATAGCAGCTGAACGAAAGGCTCTTTTCAAGGCTTCTTGGCACTGAGGCATTTGTGCTCTTTGCAAGAAGGGCAATCAAACACGTGCTTCTTTGACATCAGGACCATAGGTCTGTCCTGTCTTTGCTAGGAAGCCAGTGATTTTTCCTCACTATAATCCTGGGATGCACCTGCACCCTTCACATAACATAGACACCGTGTAGTGAGGTCTAAGGCAGCTCCTGCTTAAGGAGGAAGTCAGGTTGGGGAGGTATATTTTTGACCCAGTTTCTCTCAGTAGCGAGGCTATTTAACACTGCTCATGCACATCCCGGGGCAGAACAGAGGAAGAAAAAGTGTGGCATGTCCTAAGCAAGGGCAGTCTAGCAAAGGGCACATACTTCCCTCCCCTCCAGCAAGAAAGGGGACGACATCAGCTGAGCAGGAAACCTACCTGAAATCAGAAGCACCACTACCTTCAGGGTCAAAAACAAACAGATCCCATTTGTTTTCTTCTAGATATGAAGCATAAACTTTGGATTCTGATACAGAGGATCTGCTTCCATGGGTAGAGCCCACTCCATAGCTGTGACATCAAGGACCCATCGACTCATCTCCTCCTCCTGCTTTTCCTGACCCTCCAAGCCTGTTGCAGAAATTGGATCCTGGCAACAGAAGAGGACTGAAAACACTTCTGTCCCTACCGAAAAAAAAGGCCAGCATGTTCGTGGGCAAAAAGGTCATCCCGTTCCAGCAGGCATGACCTTCGTCCCATTCATGCCTGCAGCCACAGCATGAGATAGGATTCTACACTTGGTGGTAACTCAAGCCGCATACATGCTCTTGAAAGAAAGGTAACCAAAGGGGTAGTCCAGAGGCTCCTTGGTAGTTCTACAGGACCCGGGACAAAACAGAAGCAGGAGCTTCATCTTCACTTCCCCTACAAAGATGCTAGGATTTCACCAGGTAGAGAACTTGGTTTGCTTTTGAATCAATCACCTTTTCCCCAATCCCTAGACTTCAGTACCCTTTAGATCCAATGCAGAAGGAACTGACATTGGAGATTGAGAGCCCACAGTAGCCGCCTAGGGGGAGGAGAGGGGAGGTCAGGTCTGTGATGAAGAATCATCACAATCAGTTTTGACTGATGTCCAGCTGGAGGGGGACACTGCAGCAAGAGGGGGAGGGAGCCTTTGCTCTTCGACCCTCCACTTAGTGTTTCATGGTTGGGAGGTGCTAGATATCTCCTGTAAAAAAAAGTTGGCTCAGACATTGCGTCTCATGCATCTGATGGGATGGGGTGTTTGACACATCTATACCATACCTACTGATTATTCATGCCAGACAGAAATAAAATGCTTGTGAGATCCATGTGTGAGATGGTAATTTCTGTTCAAAATATCTGAGGGTGGGCTGGGAAAAACCACATTTCCTCTATCTGCTACAGGGAACCTCTTCCCATGCCCAAGCACATAACTGGGTGTCAAGGAAGGGCTGATGGAGTTAACAAATGGTGCGAGGCCTTGGGAGTTCCTGTTCCTGACACCCTCCCTCCTGCTATAGATCCTTGCTCTGTGGACAACAGGAACTGGACAGATCCATACCATCTGGGAAATCCCATCCTATCTTCCCTATTGCTGCCACAAGGAGATGTTCTCCCCTAGCAAATCCAAGCCTACACGTGCTGCAAGGGGCCAGACTGTTGTTATAGCATCAGTCAATTGTACTTCTCTCAATGGGACCTTCCACTGAGACATCTCAAAGTACCTTGCAGACATGAATGACCAGAGCCTTGCAACACTTTCCCTGGGGGAAAGAAGTATCATCCCCATTTCAAGAGATGGAGCAACCTGACATAGCAAGGGAGCTCCCCACCAGGACTGAGCCCAGGAGTCTGGGTGTCCACTCCCTTGGTCCACCCATTTTACTATCCTTCTTTCCACATTACTGTTTCCTGCAAAGAAACAATCCCTGTTGGAAAAACACATGTATCATTTTTATTAATTAGAAAGCATTTCAGCCTGACTGCAAAATGATGGCTGCACGTAATAAGGTGTCAGTTCTTAGCTGCTTGATATGGCGTGGCATTGAAGGGGAGGCCCCAACTGGCAGAGGTGAATCCATCTCCGTTTCATTCAGAGCTGGAGCTGCTTCTCCATCTGCTCTCTCAACCTGAATTTCTGAACCTGGAATCAGAACAGAAGAAAAGAGAGAGCAAGTCAGGTGGGAGACAGCCTGCGAGAGCTTTACCTCAGCCCTCTCCCCACTTTCCTGGGCTGCCTCTTACCTTGCCTGAGACAGTGAGGGGATAGTGCTTCATGAACACTATATGCCGAGGGATCTTGAAATGGGAGATCTGGAAAGAAAGAGCCAAGAGCTGCAAAGAACCTTTCACCCACTGCTGCTATGTTACCTATAGCTAAGTGCTTCTAGCTTTCAGGCCACAGCCTCAGCTGGTGTGAATCACTGTAGGCTTCTTGCTTTCCGTGATGATATGCAAATTCACTCTAACTGAGGTCAGTGAGTCAGGGCGGAAAGCAGTGCAAGCATGCACTTGGCTTGGGGAGGATGATGGGGAAGGGGGCAGATCCTACCTTGCCTTTGCAGAATGCCTTGATTTCCTCCACGGTGCAGTCCTGTCCGGCCTTCACTCTGATGCATGCGCAGATCTCTTCTCCCATTCGCTTGTCCTTCACACCCACCACCTGGTCGGGATGAAAGGACACGTGAGTCCCGGGAAGCATTGCTCACTGGGTCCCTTTCTTTCCCCAGAGGGCACTGGGAGTGCCTCACCCCTCACGTGCTTCACTGCTCCATCCCCCTACCACCCAACGGCATTTTTGTCCTGGATGCTGGAGTCCTTAGAGCAGGGTCTTGGGACCAAAGTCCTATAATGGCAGAGCCCACAGGCCTACTCCCTTGGTACTAGGAAGGTTGGATCACTTCTCTTGGGAGTTAAAGATGCTTTCCCTCAAATTCCCCATTCAGGACTCCTCGTGCCCCCCAAATATCATCCTCAAATTCCAGCAATGTAGAGACCCAGGTGACTCAGAGCCCTTGGAACTGGACTAGGATTATTTCAGCAAGAGCTGTGCCTGGCGCCAACCCAGCATTTACTAAAGCACTGCTTTGCTTCTGGGGAGACGTGGTTGACATGAGAACTGGACGATGTTCCTGGCAGACTGGGAGCAGCTGCTTGAAGCAGCTACAAATCACTTCTTCCCTGCTTGGTGATGAAACCTGCAGCACAGCTCCTCTTCAGGGACTTACTTCAGGACAAAAAAAGAGTCTTTCCTGAAGTTTTAGTTATTAATCCTCATTCCCCTCTACAGGGTTTTCCAGAAGAGGATTTCAAAGCACTGCACAGATGTCTGTGAGTTGAGAATTGAGGAGAGGAAGGGCTGCAATCCCCACAGTGCTGATGGGAAAGCAGAGCAGAGAACGTGTCCAAGATCACACAGCGAGTCCATGCCAAGGACAGGGATAGAGCCCAGCTGATCTGACTCCCCCGTTCCCCGCATGATAAAAAGTCACCAGACAAGTGAAAAGCTGAACCCTGATGAAAGGTTCACCAAGCCTCCTTGTGCTACTCACCTGCACCTCCTCCACCTTGGGGTGGGTGTGTAGAAACTGCTCCAGTTCTGCTGGGTAAATGTTCTCCCCTCCACGGATAATCATGTCCTTGCAGCGACCTATAATTCTGCAGTAGCCGTGCTCATCCAGGAGAGCGATGTCCCTGAAACGACACCACAGCCCTTGTTCCAGGTATCTCAGCTAAGAGGAAGGATGACTTATCCACCTGGCCAGCCCCAAGGGGTTCTCTGCCCTGGCATGCTCACTGCCTCACAGGCTCAGTCCTGAGTGGCCAGAGGAAAGGATGTCCAGGGATGAATGGCCAATGGGTCACCCTCCCACCCAGCTTGCAGCCTGTCTCCAAGATCCTGCATAAACAAGAGCTCAATCCAAGCTGGAATTTCCCCTGCCAGCCTCACCTTAGATTTGGTATCAAGTCTCCAGATGTTGTGACTTAAGTGCGATGGACCAAATGCAGCCCTCCTGCCACCTGGTTGAACTCCATGGACGTTCATGGGACTGAACCTACCGACACTAGGGCTGACTCTAGTCCATTTTGCCTGTGGGAATAGCTACTGCTTCTCACTCACATACAGGGCCACGTGCACCAACCACATGCAGGACAGAGTTTCAAAGGGAAACAATGTTGGGGAGTTTCCAAACTCACCCTGTCTTGTACCACTTGTCATCAGTGATCACTTCATTGGTTTTGGTGGGGTCTTCCCAGTAGCCCAACATGACACAGTAGCCTCGAACCTGGAGCTCCCCAGGGGTATTCAGAGGCACAATTTCTCCAGTTTCAGGATCCTCAATCTTTGCCTGCAATGCAAGAGAGCCAGGCTCTTCAGGTGTGATGCAAGTCCCGAGCTGGGTGGAAGACAGACTGGGAGGAAAGGCAGTGGGTGCGGTACGATGCCTACTGCTGGCTGCTGAAGAGGTGAGGAAGGGTGCCAACAGTTTTGTGCTGCTGGGGATTGGAAAACTGAAGCAGCAGGGGAGGTGGGGAGGATCATGTTCACCTCTGTGTGGGGAAAGACGCATCCCACGGTCTCAGTTTTCTGAGAGATGCTGTCCTGCGGGAATCCCATGAAGGTGACGGGGCTGTTCTCCGTTGTCCCATAGGCTACCTGCAAATATTGAAAGGGGGACACACCTCAGGGAGTCTTCTGGACAAAAAGAAACAGCTAAGGTCTAAGGTGGGTGAATCTAGTGATGATTATGGGAAGCAGGGATTCTTCACCATAGGCCGCAGATGCCAGGCAAACCTTCCCACGGTCAGATCCACAGGAGGGCAGCTCCCGATACGACTACCCCTGTTACACCCCCCGCAAGGAGACTGAGAAGAAAGGAGTAATGAGATGGCACACATTGGATGCTTTCTCCCCCATCACTGCCACCTTAACAACATTCAAAGCCTCCCCCTTCCCCATGATCCGCTGGAAGGGCTTTCTCTCACCAGTAGCCTACCCTTCAGTGGGGAACCTGGCTTCTTCCCTGGCCATTTCCCTGTCTCAAGTGATCTCCCCTGCTTTTACCATTTCCCCTGGACAGGGCCCTGCTCCATCTGCTCCTTGCCAGCCCTGCTTGACTCCAGACGTCTGTCTCTGGACGTACCCTCACAAGCACACTCTCTTGCTCTTCTAGATGTGCCTCGGATCTGCCACGTAACAGGGCACTTGGAGCCTGGGAAACAATCCCAGAGCTGGTTCCAGGCCCCTGTTGGTGGTTACATGTTTGATCTCCCAGCACGGATGCTTGCCCTGACCCTTTGGTGTGTGGACATCAGAATTCCCGATCCGTTAATAAAGGCATCCCAGGATGGCGCCAGCCGCTCAGGGCAACTACATTTGCAAGCCAGAAGCACCACATCAGGACAAAGGCTGTGGCGCTTCTGGCTGACGTTCCCTCAAACGCTAACCCCGGCTGTGGGTTCTGAGTCACCGCATTTCGAGGCCACTCAGCTTTTTTTTTGCTCATCCCAGCAGTCAGCAAGTTCACAAGGCCAGACGCTCTGGATGCCAGGGAGAAAATGCAATGCACTTCCATGGATCTCGGAGCTCCAGCTGGCCCTTGTGCTGCTAGGGCTGGGGGCCGTTTTGTCCCTAGAGGCTGGGACCTTTCTTAAGAGATAAGAGATTCATCTATGAGCTTCGCTCATGGTGTCTGGGCAGCCCACCCGTTGAGCGTAGCATGGTGATCCAACGTGGCTGGCTTAGCAACAGAGCCAAATTGGCTTGGCAACAGAGCCTCATGGGCTTAGACTCAGAGATTGTTTAATCTCTGCTGCTGGCCACTTTCCCCAAGTACATTCCTGCACTGCTTAAGTCTCTATGCAGGCCACAGTTTTTGGAAGCAGCTTGGGATGCTTGAGTCCCAGGCAAACCAAAGATCCAGAGGTTAAATGCAATTGTTGAAGACCAAGGGTAGATCAAGACCCTCCTAGGGGGTGTAAAGTTGGGCCCCACTTATGGTTTGCTTTGGAAACTCTTGCTAGCACACAATAGGCTCCATGCAAAAGCTGGCCCAGATTCTCCAGTGGAAGCCTCTCCTTTCCCAGAAGCCCTTTCGATTGTCTCCAGGATATTACAGAGACCATTTTGGTGAAACCTTATATCGCTAGGTGCTTGGCAATCCAGCAGGAAAGATTTCAATTGTGCTTCTCCATCCAGGCTTAATCACAGTTTAGCCATTGGGAGGAAACGCATAGGGCTTAATGTTTAAAAACGGATTTCTTTCCCACCCACTAAATAGGAGTTTGTTGGCTGGAGCCACGTCTCTTTTTATGGATGAGACTTAAAACCAGGTCTTAAACACTTATTAAAAATCCCACTGCACTTTTTAGCAAGAACAGAGGCATCAGCCACAGCATTTGGGCCAGATTCTGAGTCATTATTTTCTTCCTCCCTCAACTTCCCCTGTAATTTTAATTGCCTGCAGCCTTGCGTCCAATCTGCTTGCAGGACGCTCCCAGGGTGGCTGTGGTGCACCAGTGCCCTGGAGATGTCTGGTAAAGTGCTCTGGGTACCGTGAGCTCAGATCCAAGTGCTGCCTGCCTGTGTTCCTGGCACCGGGCTCTTCAGGCTCCAGCCCTAGCTTGGCTATGAACGGTTGGGTACTAGGAGTAACAGAGGCTGCCTCGCTAGGACTGCCAGAAACACAAGGGTGTGAAAACCTCAGGCATAACTGTTTTAACAGCTGCAATAAAAGATGGACCAGAGGTTCCCAATTCAGACTCTGGGATATCAGGGTAAGAAGAGTCTCGACCCTCTGCACATTCTTCTGCTGTGACTATGGCTGGT